GGGGGGGGGGGGGGTTGGTACCCCCTATGCTGTAGCTGCTGGGGAGTAGGGCAAGGACAGAAGAGGGTTCAGGGAGTGGGGACATGATAGCCGGGAAGCCAGGGGTGAGTGCTGCTCCCATGCTACTAGCCCCTGGCTTCGAGGAAAGCAACCCGCAGGGCCTGATCCAGCAGCAGGCTGGGTGCTTTGCACTCGCATCCATAGGAGCCCATGCTGGACGCAGCTCTGGAGCCAACCCTAAGGGCAGAGGCCGCTGGGGCCTGGAAGGGGGGAGCCCAGACAAGGGGTCTGCGAGCTGGCAGGAGCCCGGGAGTGTGCAGCACCCCTCCCCGGAGCAGCAGCAGGCACCGGCTGCCCTTGCTCAATGTGACTGTGGCACCTTGAACATGATTGAACAGCACACCACATGCTCCCTCCCAGGCCGCCTCTCGCCCAAGGCCGCCCGAGCGTGAATCATCGCCGGCGCGCGCCCCCTCCCAGCCCCGGTGCCGCGCCCTTTGCTGTCCTTCGGTGTCAGGGACCACGGCCGAGCCCAGCGGGCCACCCAGGGAGCAGGGCTGGGGCCGGCCAAGCTTGCACCCCGCAGCGCCTGGGCGCGTGATGGATAGATTAGATTAGCTTGTCTCCCAGCCAGCACCGGGGGGGGCATTGACTTTGGGCTGCAGACAGGTTAGCAGAGACAAATGGGAGAAGCGCCAGTGCCATAAAGGGAGGCCGGCGAGAAAGTTCCAGGAATCGGAAGATAAAGCCCGCAGCATCCCCCGGCCGGGGGCCTCGGGGGCTGCGGGCAGAGGGGGAGAGGAAAGGCGTGCCAGCTACCTGTGGGTGGGAAGAGGTTAGCCATCTCCACAGGGTCATGGCTACTGCAGCTAAGTGCTTTTTGCATTGTGGGGGGGGAACGAGAGGAAGGAGGTTGCCATGGAGAAAAACACATGATGCATACTGATGGACTGGGGGGTGCGCGGGGGGAGCACGAGCTGCCACAGCAAATATGAGAGGCTTGAAAGACATCTGCACAGTGACAGGAGGGAGCTGGGGGGGGCGCGCACTCGCCAGCACAAGCCCTGGGGTTTGGGGGGAGCCTTTCTGCAGCCCTTGGATAAAAGCAGGGTCCAAGGATGCTTGGTGCCCCCATCTCTGTGTCCCCCAGCCCGGCTCTTGCCACCCCCGGGAAAGCGCTGTCTCCCCGCTTGGCGCTGAAGGCGCAGCCTCCCCTCCGGTGCCATCCTGGCCAAATCAAACAAGAGCCTGGAAACAAATCCGCAAACAGCCCCAGCCACCTGCCAAAGTGCCACTGCAGAGCCGCGACCCCGTGGTTTGCAAATTAAAGGGCCAGCGGGAAGGCGACGGCGGGGAGAAAGGGGGCAGGGGCAGGAGGCAGCACCCCTTGCACCGAGGGGCTTTGCCCTGCCGGTGCCCCCGCTCGCCCCCACAGCACTGCTGCCCCCGGGTGCCAGCTCCAAAGGCCCTGGGTGTTTGCAGCCACGACCGCCCCGTCGGCGGGTGCGGCAGGGCACAGCCGGCAGGGCTGTGGCTGGGCGGCACGGCCAGGGCAGCGATGCCCGGGCTGGGGAGCTGCCCGGGACGTCCACCATAGCCACAGCCACAGCCACAGCCACGAGCGAAAGGGATGCGTGCGCCCAGGCCGTGGCCTGCTCGGCCGTGCCGCGGCATCTGCCCGGGGCCCGGGGAGCCGAGCCGGACCCCGAGGTCCCGGGGCAAGGCCCGGGGGTGCCGCCGCGGGGGCACGCTCTGCTTTAATTGGCCACCTCGTTAGCAGCCCCTCTCCGGAGTGAGGCGCTGTGAGGGGCCTGATGGAGAGGAAGAAGAGCGAAGGCCGTTGCCTGGCAACAACACAGCTGTCTGTTGACCTAGAAGGAGCTGCTCACTCTTGACACAGCTGGTGTTTACACGGAGCTGCGTGTTCGCACGGCGCAAAGCGCGCCTCCCCCAGCCCAGCCCACGCGGGGCGCAGACCAGAGAGGGGCCGCGGAGAAGGGGAGCAGCCCCCTGCCCCAGCCCCGGGGCTGCGGCCCTGCCAAGGCCAAGGGAGTCCAACGCAGTTGCGCTCCGGGCCCCAGCTGGAGCCGGCCGGGGACGCTCGGCCCCTCGGGGAGCGGGCCTGCCCACGCTTGCCGGGGCCCGGATGCGGGTGCCTGAGCCTATTGGGGAAACTGAGGCACAGGGAAGGTGCGGGAGGCGGTCCACGAGACCCTTCGCGCGCCGCAGCCTGCGGACACGCCTCTGCATTACTGCGCATTAAGCGTCACTCCAAAACCGTGCGCTGGCTGCAAGATGGACGCGACGGCGCGTTTAGTTAGCGCTTCATTCGGCAAGCGCTCGACTTACTGCGCCTTAACGAACGCGTGGACGTGCCCTCTTACACGCCCAACTCAGGCTCCGCTTCCAAGTGGATCCCAGTCCACTCGTGCGCCCGCTGCATCGGCCCGAGACGGTCCCGATCCCTGCTCATGGTCAGCTGGCAAGCCACTTCCCTCTCTACCTCCACGCTCGGGTGTCATGTGTAATACGGCCCTTTCTACCCTCCTGCAATATCGATCAATCGCCGCGCTGCACAACGACGCTCCGAAGATCTCATTTCCATTCAAATCTCTGCTTTCCATTGTCATTTCCCTGCATCAATCGCTCCTCTTGGGCGGGAGGTGTCTCTGGTGCGAGCCCCCAAATTCCTGCTTTTATCAGACTGGGGCCAATTTTCAATGACCGGTGATTCTGGTTTTTTTTCTTTTCGTTACTAGAGTTGTAAAAAAACCAACAAAAATAAGCCAGTGGGTCCTTTGCCTTCAGGTATCATGAAACCAGGAACTTCAAAATGGGCTTGTTGTGAAGATCTCGTTAAGATCGGACACTTAAGTCGAGTTGGAAGGAAATTGTGCTTTAACGTTCGGGCGCGTTCAAAAGAGCCCATTTCAAAGACGCCCAGCACAATTTTCTAACTTTAAGCAGTCCAAACTTTGAAACAACTAAACTGATTTTCTTGGAACACAGCGTGATGGATTTGATTTTTTTTAAAGACGCAATTAAATCTACAAAACTGCATGTGCCGTTCGTGCGGCCCAAAAGCTTACCGATTGGTTTGATTGTTATTTTTTTTATCAGAGTAATCCAGCTTCTCCTATCAGCACAGTTCCCGCTGCATCGTAACTGTTTGCTGAAAAAAGAAAGTTCTTCAAAAAAAAAAAGAAAAGTTAAGGGTTTGGTTGCCAAAGTGTTTGCGTTGATTGTAGTGAATTCAGTGTTTGTAGGAAGTGCCCTCACACACTTCACGCGCGGGTTGGCATTATATAGCGATAGAAAACAAGCGTTCATTATACAGGTGCTGCTGCTCACTCCGAAGTCAAGCTCGCCTTCCCGGGGCAAGCGCTGGTTCCCGGGCACTCGGATCCACGGGCCACCAGCGAAGCGCACCGCAGATGATGTCGAGGAAAACCCAGAGCCGGAGCTCCGTGATTCGTCTTCTCCGCGGCTTTGCGGCCCGCATTCAGCCCCTTGTGCTAGGAGCTGTACGAGCGCACGGCACGAGGTGCTGCCTGCCCCAAACAGCTTGCAGTGGAGGGAGGCAGAGCGTACAGAAAGGGGAAAGGACTCTCCCTTTCAACCTCCGCGCTCTGCCACGGCGGGCCCCAGGCCTATGCGATGTGCACTGTACCAATGCTTGCCAAGTGAAGTGGAAACCCCCCTGGATGTGGGGGGCCCGCTAAGTGCTCATCCAGTGATGGCTGGGGATGGGAAAACATGGATGGAAGTGGAGGCCAAGGGTTCAAAATGAGCGCACCGAGGCAGGGCACTGAGCACCCACCGCAGGCCCGCGTGATGCAGATGAGGAACCCACGCCCTATGTCCACCACCCTGCTAATAGAGAGGGGTATTGGGTGTGTGTCAACTGAATTTATGGGACAAATAAGGGACTGAACAGGGGCAGGAGCGAGGTTCATAGGTTTATAACGAATGCACCAACGGGGGATGCCGAGCAGAGCACCCCAGGCAGTGCTCAAACAAGTCCAAGGGGCCAGCGGACATTGCTCAGTGATGCTCTGCATGGAGAGGGCAAGGAAAATGGCCCGGCAGTCCCTGGGACCCTCCTGGCCAGAGCCTCCTTCCACGGCCCGTTTGGCCAGGGCCAGGAGGAGGCTGCCCGGGAGGTCCCGGGGCTTGGCAGGGCCATGGACGGGGCGTGCAGAAGTAAAAAGATGCAGGGACTCGAGCAACCAGCACCTCGGCAAGACGTTCTGGAGGAGGCGGCGCAGGGGCTGCAGCCTGGCCATGCACGGGGGTCTCCCCCTGCTCACAGAAGGGGCAGGCGTCAGGGGTCCCTGAACCACGCCAGATTCACGCCCATGGCGACGGCTTCGTGGAGGAGCCGCCGGTTGAGGCCCCTGGGAGCTTGCAGGATCATGGTGGAGCAAGCACAGATTCCTCTACCGGGGATGCAGGTGTCTTCATCACCTTTTCCTCTTGTGGGCCTAGCCCACCAACGTGTCTTGCTGGCCTCCCTCCGGCGGGGAAGCCGCAGGGAAAGGGGCAAGCGGATTTCGAGGGACGAATCATGAAAAAATCAGGGACGGGAGTGCTGGTCATAGGTCGGGGAGTGTGAACGCCGCGTGCCCCCGGAGGTTGGCGGGGCACGGCGAGCTCCCGCAGGCGGCGGAGGCGGTAAGTGGGGAGCTTCGCTGTCGGCGGCAGGGGGGTGGCAAGCGCCGATCGGTGGTTGGCGACCACCCGCAGACACCGCTGGCAATCGTGCACTGCCCACAGATGCCACCGGCAGCGCAGGCGGTGAGCAAGCAGTGACAGCCTGCCGGTGGCACCTTTTTGCAGGGGTTGCACTGCCACGCTCAGGGGGTGCGCGTGCACTTGTACACATCGCCAGTGGAACAGGGGACACCACACCGCCCAGCGCCCACTGGTCCACCGAGGACCCGGGAGAAGGGGACAAGGCGGGTCCGGCCCCACGTCCATGCTCCCAGGACAGAGCTTGCAGCACCTCTTTCTCTTTCCCGCAGTGTTTTGCTAGTGGGGAAGTTCTCCGTCGCAGCCCCCCCGTGCTCCCCGTGGGCAGGGCGGGGCGGGGCGGGGCGTGCAGCTGGCATGGGGCGCGCGGTGCTGCGTGGGCTGGTGCTGTGCTGCGCGGTGCTGAGCCTGGCGCGGGTCTTGCTGCGTGGCCGCGCCCGCACCCCAGGGCCCTTCACCGTGCGCACCATCCGCGGGGGCCCCGAGCTGGATCCTGGCCCTGATCCCGGCCCCAAGCCGGCCCCACCTGCCTGCCCGCCGCGCTACCAGGATGAGAACGAGAGCCCTGCACGGCCCGTAAGCCTGGAGCCCCCCACCCCAGGACCCACCTGGGTGCTGCCCCTTCCCCTTGCTCCTGGGTGGCTTGCCCCCAGGCTCTTATGCAGAAGGGCTGCTGGCCTCCCCCGCCCTGCCCCGGTGCTGAGATCCTAGCTGGGTGGGGAAGGGAAGGGAAGGGCTGTCCTTTCGGCCTCCTCTTGGGCTACGGGGACCCAGGGGGCTGCTCAGGTTGGCGGGGGAGGGAAGCGTCGGGGCCGCAGGTTTTCCACGGTTAAAACTTTTCTAGTCCCTGGAAAGCACAGGAGGAATTTGCCTCTCCTCCTCCTGCCCCTCTGCTTTGCAAGGCATCCCAGCCGGGCAGACAGATCCGGGAGGCTGAGAAGAAAACCTCGCCAGTTCCCGGAAGGGAAGAAGGGCTCAGAAAGGGTTCCCGCAGGTTATGCAGAGGGGGGACGAGGGTGGCACAGGCCTGCTTCGCACGCACAGCCGCGCACACGCACCCTTACGCCGTGATGCTCATCCGCAATGTCACAGCCCCTTGTTCGAGAAACCCTGGTACATGGACACATTCCCGGCCCCCTCTGTCGCCGCAGACACAGCTCCATCTCCCTCTCACATGTGCACATGCACACGCTCACACGCGCACCGTTCTCCATGGAGGAGACCCATGCAGTCCCTCCCAGAGGCCCCTGCTCTGAAGGGCCCCGGAGACACGCGCGCTCACACGCGTGCACACTTGGCCATTCGTGGCAGAGTGGAGGAGGGAGCAGGGACGTTGTTGCATGGGGGGGGAGCTTTTCGCGTGGTTGTGCGGCTTCTCCGTCTGCCTGTATCATCCAGACATGTCAACCCACCGGCTGTGTCTGTAGCGGTGCGGGCGGAGAGTGTCGGGCGAGCTACCCGCGGGTTCAGACTGGTGCCGAAGCAACAGCCGCAGAAAGGGGGTGGCTGGGTTTCTGCGGCCTCGCCCCACGGCCCCTGCGCTGCACCCGATGCCAGTCGAAGGCTTTTGTTGAAGATTACTGTTAAACGAAACCAGAGAGATTAAAGCTGCGCAAGGGGTCGGCCTTCGGTGCAGGCAAGGAGCTGCACACACGAACGCGGGCCAGCCCCCCGGGATCCACGCCGGGGCGCTCGGGGGGAGCGGTGGAGGATGCGATGCCCCTCATCCTGCTCCCGCGGGCCCCAGTGATTCAAGACTTGGTGAGCAGGGAGCAGTAGGGGGTCTCTGGCATGGGCCAGCGGTTTTACCCCTGCTAGCAGAGGGCGGCGGTGCCCGTGCCCCTTAGCCGGCTTGTCTTGCTCCACACCTCTGATGCGAAGAGGCTGGTGGAGGTTTTCAGAGCAGCCTAGGAGATTGGGGTGCCCCGTTCTCATTCACATGAATAGCCGCACCTCTGAAAATTGCAGCTGTTGTTCTGCGCTGGCATCCTTTGCACCGACTCGCCTCAAGCGCTGTGCACACGAGCCAGGAAGGGGAGGCCATTTGAGGAGGCGGACCTGCAGCCACCGAGCCTGGCGCCTTGGCTCAGAGCCTGGCACGCGTTGCTTCAGGGACTCGGTTTCTGCCCCCACGACCTGGTCTTGCGCAGCAACGTCTGGCAGGTTTCGGTGGGAGCACGGCCGGCAGGAGGGCTGTAGAGAGCAGGGTCACGCTACTGACCCCTAGGGCTGCCCCTCCCCCACCCTAGGGCATTCCTGTTTCTCAGATGGGGAAACTGAGGCACCGAGCGGGACGAGGCCGAGGCCCTGCATCTCGCGGCAGGCCAGCAGCAAGGCTGGGAATAGACGTGGACTTTCCCGATGCCCAGGGCCCTGCTCATAGCCTCAGCACCATCCAGCCCCTAGGCCTGGCCTTCAAGCGGCCTCGTGCAGGGGGGGTGCCCCTCCCAGGGGCTGCGGGAAGCATTTCCCAGTGTTTGTCTTTCAATCTTGCAGGCAGGCTGGCTTGGAAGGGAGACAGGGAGAGGAGGAAATGACTCAGGGGCTGGGAGGGAGGGGGTCTGGAGAGGTGGGGCGATGCAGTGACCCGATCGGCTGGGGGCCAAGTGTGGGGGCAAGGCTGAGCAAACATCCCAGGGACCCAGCGGCGCTTGGCCCGGCTGGGGGCAGAGGTGGGCTGTGGCAAAATTGGGCCCCCCAGGAGCTGGGCTGAGACCTGGCGCACTCGCTGCATGCCAGCAAAGAGCAGGCAGCGACGCTCGGGCGCAGGCACCTCCCGCTGGATTTGAACCGGGCACCTCGAGGACAAAGACAGCCAGGCCCCTGCTCGGGCGCTGGCTCTTTTATTTTGCGGGAAGCCAGCACCGCGTGGACAAAGCCCTGCGTTGAACTGGCGCTCGGTGGCTTCGTCCAAAGTCCAGGCCCCTCGCAGGGGGACGCGGGGCTCTGGAGCGGGTCCAGGGATGGGAGAAGAGGCGTTAGCACCGGGACGCCCGGTTTTCCAGTCCTGCTGCTGGGAGCTGGAGCCCAGCGCGGCTGGCATCCCAGCTCCCCTCCGACCAGGCAGCCTGGCCCATGGCAGCCGGTGCCGCGGTGCCAGCCCAGCCTGTACAAGGACCCCCGCGTGCTGTGTCGGGGCCAGGGCTGGATCCCCCTGCGGCCCCAGCCATGGCTCGTGGGGCTGCGGCCTTGCTCAGCCACCAGCGAATTCCCCTCTGCTCGCCGGGCAGCGAGGGAAGACCCCAGGGCACCGTGCTGGCGCGGTTGGGAGGGAGCGGACCCCCGCCCCAGCTCGCCCCGCCGAAAGCCCGCAGCTTTCCTGCATAGACAGCAATCAGTCTGGGGCTGAACCCCAGGTGAAGCAGGGTGGACGCCAGCTAGGAGCCAGCCTGCTCGATTATGATGAGACCCAGCTGGGGGTGGGAAACAGGTGTTTCCTATAAAGGGCTGAGCCGCAGCGGAGGGGCATGTTGTTTTCTTGTGGCAAGGCCCGCGGCAGCCTCTGGGTCCCTGCCGTCTGCGCTGGGCAAGGGAACAGCTCTGCTCTGCGTGAGGTTTTCGGTTGAATTAATAAGCTGCTCCTCCAGAGAAGGGGCTGGGCGAGGGGTGGCGGGGGCAGCACGCATCCAGCCGGGGCCAGGGAAGAGCCTGTGTCACCCGCGGAGGTGCCCGCGGGGTCCCATGGGTGCGTCGGCTTGCGAGCAGCCTGGGCCAAGCCGGGTGCCAGGGCGAGGCGGCCCCCGGGCTGGAGCCGGGTCTCGGAGCGGGGGGAGCAAAATGCAACCCGAGGCGTTCATTTTCCATGGGTCCAAACAGCGCGAGTTTATCAGCAGCGGCAGAAGCGCCGCGCTTCCTGGCTCGGTGCGGAGTGCAGGCTCCTCGGGGAAGGGATTAAGGGGATTATATTATTATTTGTTATCGCAGCGGGGGGGGCACAGCGAAGAAACCTCGGTGCCTGGGAATTCTGCCTAAGCGGAGCAGAGATTAGCTCCCCCCCCCCCGGCCCTCTTGGCAGCCGGGGCCGGCTCCAGCAGGCAGCCGCGCTCTGTCCACCTCCCGGCTGCCAGGGCAGGGCAGGGCAGGGCTCCAGCGGGCGTGTTGGTGCGGCTCTCGCCCGTCGGGCCGGGCCAAACTTGCCTGCCCGTGCACCACCGACACTTTGATCGCCACTGCAGCTGCTGCCTGGGCCCTTTGTCTGCTGAGATGAGCCAGGTGAATCACAGGATGCCCCCACCCAGCCCCGGAGCCACCCGTGTCCTGTCCTGCTTGCCGGGGCCTGCGGAGCAAGGGCTGGCCGTGCCGGGGTCAGTGGATCTGGCCCAGCCCTCCGCTCCCCCAGAGTTTGCCCAGCCTGGTTAGCGGGGTGCAAACGGGGCGAGTCCTGGAGGGCGCTGGTTTCTGCATGCCCGGTGCCAGGCTTGCCCTGGGGCAGAGGTGCCCATGCTGTCTTGCCTGTGGCCAGAGGGAAGGTGGCCCACTGGTTAGTGCTAGGCTAGCAGCAGCCGCTCCTTGCTTGGGAGCATCCCTCAGACTCAGTTACCCATCTGAGCAATGGGTCTGCGGTGAGGGGAGGCATAGAAGCACCTTTGCTGGTGGCTGAGGTGGGGTGAGGCAGCTCTGGGGGGGGAGGTCTGCAGAAGACCCTGCCCGGCAGCCTCCTGCCTTTGGTCTGGCCCTGCTGCCAGAGGAGGGGCTGGGGCTGGGGGGGAGAGGAGGCCGCACGGAGCCCGTGAGGGCGGCGGGGCTGTTTGTCTCCTTGCGCTCGAGGCCTGCTCTGGCCGTAATTAATGACCTGCCCATCCGGAGCATTTTGGGACGTGTGGCAGGAGGCTCTGGGCTGCTTCCAGGCGCTCTGCTGCTCAGACTGACACGGCAGGGCCGGCTGCTCCCAGCCCTGCTGCTGTCGCAGGCTTTCGCCGCAGGCTGCGGTGCCTCTGACCTGGGCAAGCAGGCCTTTGTTTCCTGCACGGCATCCTCTCCAGCCAGGCTGGGAATTGCCGGGGGTGGGTTTCCTTCTCGTGGTCCGGCTCTGGCCTCTGCCACTGCCTGCCCAAGGGACCTTGGGCAAGTCACTGCCCCTCGCTTCCACCCCTGGAGCGGTCGGTGGTGCCTGCCTGCTATGGAGCCCCAGCTCCAGCTCCAGGGAGCCCTGATGGCAGGGGCTTGCAGACATGGCCTTGCAGAGGTTGCAATACCTCCTCCTCCTCTTTCCCTGGAGCTGGAGAAAGGGGTGGGAGAAGAGTGCGTGTGCGAGTGGTGGTGCCCACGTGGCTGGTAAACCCGTGGGGCTCTTCCCAGTGCACCGGCCCCGCAGAGAAGGGGCTTGCTCAGCCCTGGCTGGGAGGACCAGCCCCGGCTGCCAGGGGAGACCAGTCCCCTTCCCGTCTCCCTGCGGCACAGTCCCCATCCGAGTGCTCGGCAGGAAGCTGCTGGTGCTGGGTCTGGACTCCCCAGCCCTTTGGGGCCTTGTCGGGGTCCGGCAAGGGGCTAGGAGCCGCGGCCGGCTTGTTTCGCCGGCTTCCCCGCTCTCCTGTTCTGCAGCGTGTTTTCTCTCCACCCTCAGCAAACCCATCAGGACGTGGTCCCGCAGCCCTGGGCCGACGGCAGCGAGTCCCTGCAGAGGGAGGCCGAGCGGTTCCTTGCCTACATCAGCACCCCGCAGGTTGGGCGCGTGGCACCGTGGGCCCTCTCCAAACCAGCCAGCTGCCCGGGGGGGCAGGCACCGGGGCTCTCGCCGCCCCCCGCCTGCCTCCAAAGTGCTCTGCTCCCATCCCGGCTGGCCCGTGCTGGCGTCCTGCAGAGCCCTGTGTCCCCTGCGTGGTCCCCGTGATGCTTGGCAGAGGGGGAGGACCGAGGGAATAGGTGGGCTTGGAGGGGGGCAGTGCCACTCAGCCCCCGGGCCCCGCCGGGGCGAGGAGGGCATGGGAAGGTCTCTGGCCCTGCCTTATCCCTGCCATCTGCAGCGCTCGGGAAGCAGCCCAGAGCTTCCTGCTGCAGCTGCGGGAAGGCCGGGGAGGGGCAGGTCAGCAATTACGGCTGGGTCCCGGGGGGCCGCGGCGAGGCCAGGCAGGGGTGGAAGGAAACATCTGGGAGGGGGCCTGGGGAAGCCTCGAGCTGAGATGCGCTCTCCTGGCGGGGGGCGGCGTGGACGTGGAGTGACCGCTGCGGGGCTGGGGCTGGGATGCCCTCCGTCCTCCTGGGCTGGACCCGATCCTGCCTCAGGGGGCTGCTTTTGCCCTTGCTCCCCCGCAGCTGCCTTGCTCCAGGGCTCTGAGCCAAGCAGGGCCCAAGGCCTTAGCGGACAGCACCTGGGGGCCCTGGCGAGTGTGCCTGGATCACCTGCCCGGCCTGGCCCCGAAGCCACAGCAGAAGAGGTGCCTGGCGTACACCTTCAGGTGAGGGGGTCCTGCGAAGGGAGGAAAGTGGGGCTGGGGGAGGCTTCCTCGTGCTGCATCCCACCCCTTCCCTGCCTGCAGCTCTGCGCCTCAGAGGCAGCCGGCGGTTCTGCCCCAGGCTCGGTGCTTTCTGGCAGCCTTCGTCACGGCGTTGTCACCACCTCCCGGCCCCTCTGACGGTGCCTCCGGGCAGGCTTTGTTGGCTGGCTGGGGTGCAACGGCAGAGGGGCCGGGGGCTGCTCTTGCATCCGTCGGCAGCTGCCCCCAGGGGCTGCCGCGGACCCGGGAGATCTCGTCACTGGGGCTTTTGCAACGGAGGTGTCCTGCCCCTAGCAGGAGGCTCCCTCTCCCTGCCCTGGGTAAGAGCCTCCCAGGCTCCGATGTTCCCGGCTTGCCTTTCTCTCTGAGTCTGGGGTCTGCATCTGGCGGGGGGGAGCTCCTACAAGGGCAGGGAGTGTCTGATGGGACACAGGCGGGTTGCACAACACGTGCCCCAGACGCGGGTGTCTCCTCCAAAGCACGGACGGCTAGCCAGCGTGGGAGACGAGCCGCTGGCCCCCCCGGCATGGCGCTGCTCGTGTTCCTAACACTTCTCTCCCTTTCTGCCCGCCGGCAGCATGGTCAAAAGGGGCTCCGAGTTTGCCCGGCGGATGAGTGAAATGGGGTGCCAAGTGCACAGCTTTGGCTTGGCCCCTGACCGGCGCGCAGAGGAGCGCTGGCAGGAGGGACGTGTCCAGCATCACCGCCTGTGGCTGGACTGGCGCGAGCAACCCCCGTCGGCTTCGTCGCGGAGGCAGAAGAGCGCTTCCAAGAGGCTGCGTCGGATCATGGAAGGCCTGGGCCACGAGAAGGTAACGGCACGCAGCAGCGTCTGTCTTCCCCTCTTGCAGAGACCCCCCCTCGTGACCACGTCCGCGTAGTAGAGGGGAGAGCGAGAGGATCTGAGAGAGGTCTTTGCTAATCTGCTGTGGCTCAAAGTGCAGTGCATGGAGTTTGTGTTGCACAGAGACGGGGGGAAAACAGGGCCGGAGAGGTCACCTAGTCCGGCCCCTGCTCCAGGCAGGATCAGCCCTGTCTGAACCAGCTCCGGCAAATGTTTGTCTAACCGGCCCCTAAAGACCTCCAATGACGGAGACCGCCCGGCCCAGCTGGGTAAACCATTCCCAGGCTGAGCCCCCGCCGAGTTAGACGGGGGTTTCGAATATCTGCCCTGCAGCTCCCTGATCGATTAGGCTCTGGGATGCAAAGCACAACCGATCACCATCCTCTCTACTGACCCTTCTCGTATTGGAAGACAGTTGTCGAATCCCCCCTCGGTCTTTAAAGAGTCCCAGTCCTGCCATGCTCTCCCGATCTCTCATAGTCTGCTGGCGTCGCGCTGGAGCAGCGTCCTTCAGTCTCGAGTGGTGAAGCCTCCTGCCTCTTGCAGCGCAGCCCAGGCACTTTTTTAGCATGGGCAGAGCCTATTCACGCATGCAGCACTCCTAAAATGCAGCCCCCTCTGCCTCCCGCACGGCTGTTTCATGCTTGCCTCCCCTGTAGTTTCCGTGGTGTTCGTCAGCCCGTGATCAGGTATGCAGCAGTCGCCCAGCCCGGCAGGTAACGGGGCCTGGGAAGCTGGGCTGGGGCTGCCGAGAGGCTGCTGACCCAACTCTGGTGTACTTGAATGGGCTTTGAGAACCGGCTTCTTGGACAATACCGCTCTAGGACAGGCCGCAGGGAAGGATGCGCACTGAATCGCGGCCACGTGAGCGGGTGAATGGAGGAGAAAAGGGGCATCTATGCCCGGCTGCGGCAGGATATAACGCCCGGCAAAATGCACGGGATGTTGCTAGCAAAGCCGCTGCAGCCCTGCCTCCTTTTCTTCCGGCCCTGCTAAATCCTTGTCCCTTAGAAGCTGTGCATGACCCGAGCAGGGGGGCCGTGCCTGCTGGCAATGCCCTGCCTCCCACCCGGGTGCTGACGAGAGCAGCTGAGTTTGCTTTCCCCTCTCTCCTTGGGGCAGATCGACGTGCTGGAGGCCGACTTGGCCAGCGCGGAGTGGAAGATCCTGGAGAGCATCCTCCTGGACGGCACCGTGGCTGCCGTGCACCAGCTGATCCTCACCCTCCACCTCCACTGGCCCGGGTTCGAGGTGAGTGGGAGCCACGCCGCCGTGGTCCGGCACTGGTACAGCTTGCTGAAGGCGCTGGAGGCCAGGGGCTTCCGGCTCTTCCACAGCTACAAGGACCTGCAGAAGCCGCAGCTGTTCCTGCACCGGGAACTCCTCAACGCCAGCAGCTCCTACACGCTGAGCTGGGTCAACACCAGCTGGATGTACTGAGAGGGGTGGGCTGGGCAGGGGGCCTTGCTTGCACACGGCTCCTGCCCCTGGCTCGCAGGTCCCAGCACATCCCGGAGCGAGCACCCTTGCTCCCCACGCACGGGCGACGCAGGCAGCGGGTTCCCGAGGAACCCACGGAGCTCTCCGAGGCCTGCAGCTCGGACAGCGGGCGGGTGTCGGATTCGGGGGGACGCCTGAACTGGACCGAAACCAGCTCCACGGTGCCGAGACGTGCTGGAGCCCCACGTACCGCGTGCCTGCATCCCCGCCGCGCTGCCCTGGGGTGCGGAGGACAAGTACCCTGCTCGCAGTCGCCCTAATCCACGCGAGTGCCTTGCTGCTGAGCTCCAGCAGCTCGGATAATCAGCCCTGCTGATGCCTTCCCAGAGGAGACGCAGCTTGCATCGGTCCCCCCACCCCTCCAGCCAGCAAGGGCCAAAACGGCCCTGGGGAGTAAGCGCGATGCATTCATTCCCTGCACCCTGCTGCTTGGGAGCCGGTCTAATCGGGATGGTTATCGGGGCCCTGCAGACGGGGTGGCTGGAGGGGGAAATCCCGCAAAGGTTGCTGGAACCAGCAGCAGCCTGGGCTGCTGCAATTAGGTCAGCTGGGCTTCTCCACCAAGCCAAAGGGAGTGACCCAGTAAGAGCCCGCTCACATTTGAGGGGGGAGTTTGGTCTCCCCGCTCCCAGAGACTCCCCTCCAAACCCCAGCAAACACCTGTACCAAATGACAGGGGGTTCAGCGTCCCCCCCGCTGGGAGCCCGCCAGCCCCCAATCCCTCCGCGAAAGCAGGCAGAGATAAAGAACAGAGTAAAGCGGGTGGCTCCTCAAAG